ATTTAGTTGTTGCACGGTCCTCCGTAGCCAAGTGCCCTCTTGCCATCCGAAACGGGGAGACAACCGCAAAATCAATTACAATCCATCGGGGAGAAGTCCCAAGGGCTCTATTTTCAATCCAAGTCTTCCTCCAGATAAAAAACGACAAACCTCATCACGGATGCAATTATACAATCCCATTTTCCCAATCACGATACAAATCAAGCAGTGGTGACCATATCGATCCGAAATTTGAGGAGATCGCAAGCAAGCCTCATCTACATCAAATAAGGGCAAACCAAGTCGCATAGAGATTGAGTCTGAAAATGCGACATAGGAGAGACAATTATCGAATGCATGGTTGGGCGCGCAGCGGACCCATCCATCAGTCCAGCATCTCGTATAATATCGAAGACGTATTGGTCCTGGGGAATTAATGCCATGGACATCTCGATGAGATGCATCTTCGGCCTGGGATGCCATTTCCTTCTGTCGAAGTTTAGTCTGGGAATTCTGAAAATCTATCTGCCAACTCGGGAATCAAGCTTGCAATCTTTCAACCGCTACCGCCCATCCCAAAACCGAATGATGCGGCAGAGGGGGAACTAAGGATTGCCGAACGTCCTGAATGAAGCGAGAAGCAACCACATAGGAGATATCAGCCCGATAACATCTAGATTCTCCAATAGGAATATTCTCAATCACAAGACCCAAATCCCCCAATTTGGAAGGAAGAGTAGCCTGCCGCCAGGATTGCTCCGGAAGTGTTCGACCAATTATCGTTTCGAAAGATTGACGATATCGTTTGTCATACCGCTCCAGAAGGGGACCAAGGAATTGTCGGGGAGCGGTTCTAGCAAGATATTGCAGCTGACAAAATCTCATACATTGTTGCAAGAGATGGAAAGCCACATATTTGTTCTGCAATTCCTCAACCGCGCGAAAGGACAATTCGAATTGTTCCTTCCTAATATCACAGAATTCATTCATGAATATATATTGTCCTGACACCTGTGTTTTCAGCATCTGGATATCGTTGCCCGTCCTAATCTGAACCCAAGCTCCTGGAACCCGGACACATCCCCTCTGAACTGATCGCCTGACAACAGGTAAACCGTGCACTGGGAAAGATCGTACTTCAAGCCAAATTCCGCTAATTTCTTCTCGAAAATAGCGGATAATATCCTGAACCCTCCCTCCACAGAAGCCATCGTCCGCATATTCCGGCTGGAATGGAAGAGTTATTCCGGTTGCTGTTGCGGCTTCCTCTACATATCGCTTGCGGGCCAGACAAAATAAAGCCATCATCATTGGGCATCCCTGTTGCCCTCTTGAATTGGCATATGTAGACCCCTCGTAAACCAAATGGGAAGCCGATCCATAATACCACGCAGCAAAACGAGAAGAGGCAGGGGCATATTATCGATATTCCTCCAAAAAGACCGACGGAAGAACCGTATTGAAGGCATTACTGATATCCTTTTGCAAAAGGATCATGTCTTCCCTTCCTTTATTTTGGGCAATCCAATCTCTTGCGGAGTGGACGAGGATCTCGGGACCGCCGGCGACGCCACGCCAATTGATGAGAAAGCAAGCGAGTCGAAATGCCCTCAGCGTCGAGGCGAAAAGTACACTTAAACGCCAATTTACGAAAGGTTTGTCCCATGACTATGGGACGAACATCATAATTCAATGCGATCGGGCGTCCTGACTTATCAATCTTTCCTACTCCAACAAGGCTCCCTCCTGCTAACCATGGCTTCAATATGTCAGGAACTTCCGCGTCCACCAAAATCTGGAGGAATTCGCGCAAGACATGCAAAACCCCAGAATCCAAAGATTGTCCAACTATTCCTTTTAAGAAGTCAGCTCGTAGGCCATCGGGCCCCGGGCCAGATCCTATTGGGAAAGATTGCAGGGATTTGAATACCAATTCCAGGGGAAGTTCAGGAGCGGCTTGCGCCTACATGGGGCGAGGTGCAATATTATCATGATTAGGGGGAAAATTGCGCCAGAAATTTTTGTTTAACAATATCATTAGCTTCCGCCAATCCCGGAGATACCAGGCGCTTAGCAGCTTGCCCGGGGCGGCCTAAAGACACCAACCGACAAATATCCGCTTCACGTTGTTCAGCATTATTATCCTTCGGTCCTTTTCGTCCGCGCTTACGTATCGCCATGACAGCTTCATCCCACAGACCCTGCCGTTCCCCCATCTTCCAGCGAGTAAGCAAGCTTCTAGTGAAAACGATGACTTGGCCTCGACGTTGCCCCCGTTTATTCTGCCTATAGACCGATTTAGGGAGCATGAGCAGCTCAGTCCAGGCTCTGCGCGCCCGTTTTTTCGCCGCATTTTCGCTGGGAATGTCGCGGTCTACCGCGGCCGGGGCAGCATCCCAAGCATCCCGACGATTAGAAGAGACAACAGTCGCAAATAGTCTCGCATATTCACTACGTATCTGAGGCCAGCACTCAGCAGGAAGATGATCTTTGGGGAAAATAGGAGTAGTGAATATATCATGAAGGGAAGGGAGATTCTCCTACGCAATCTGGGGAGGGTTGGCGCCTTCCGCATTCCTGACACGTGGCCAGCAATGGGCGTGAACGCCGGAGGCGAATCGAATACTTGAGGTCTTACCACAAATCCTACAACCCTGCAGACGCTGTTGCCGCAACCATTCGGCCGACGGTTGGCCCTGCAATTCCCCAATGCAATGCAAGTCAATATGAGCCCTTAAGCCATCTCTATTACGACAAGGAGGTCTCCTACCTTGACTTCTAGCGCATCCCTCAATCGGACAAAAGAACTCCTGCCCCGCATTCCCAGCATGACCATCCAACAACTTGTAAATGACGGTCTTCGCGAATATCTTGGATATCGCATCCAAAGAGCTCAGCCAATTCGGCATCTACAGCACTACTAGGGATTGGTTAGGGGCCTGCGGCATTTATTCATCTCTTATATTGGTATCGTCGATATCCATACTAATTCCCCCCTCCCCAAGAGCAGGGAAGACTCGCGTGCCAGGGAAAGCCGGCAAACAAAAAACAGCAAGGAATAACAGGACCCCACCATTCCCCATCCCATTACTCAACCAAGAACCTCCAAGAACGGAAACCCTTCTACAATTATAGAAATGGAGATGATAACCCTGGATCCAAGCTATCGTACCCATCCCGAGGACAAAGAATCGTATGATATCCCCCAAATAAAGGACCCTCGTCCGCAACGTCATAAAGTAAAGACTCTGCCCCAGAATCTTAATGCTGCTCCCAAACCCCATGGCTCTATTCCACTCAATAGATTGCAGGAGGGACGAATCAATATTGACCAGCCCCCAGGCGGAAGAAGCATATGAATGCAGGGGATGCAAATAAAATAAATAATGAGAATAGATCCAATTGCCATCATATATCCAGCGAACGCTAACTATCCCAATGATATCCCGCTGATCCAATCGTCTAGCTTGCCCAGGGATGCTCTGAATTCTTTCTTCACGAACTAACCCGAGAAGCAGCAGAATTATGATAACAACCTCGCAACTCCTGATTTTTCGATGGCTGTCTCTACGTCGCTCACCCCTACCACGAACAGGCCGCAGAAGTTTCTCCAGCCAACTCAAGTAAAAAAATAAATCAATACCAATGCGCAAAAGCAAAAGCCCTGCGAGTGCAAGCGATAGCATCTTCCCATCGTCCCCCCCCCCTCTCCGACCCGGCTGCCAGCTATAAACTCGTCTTGAGCTTTAGGCCAAATTGAGCCATATTAGAAAATCGAAATCGATTAATATTAAATTAGATAAATCCTCCTAAATAAAGGACGTTTCCTCTCAAATTATTTTAGCGAATAGATATCCCAAAGCCTCCAGTCCAAGGGAGATATCCGTCCTCAGATAAGGTGAAAAGGAAAAATATCTTTTATTATCAGAATTATCTATCGTCATCATTTTAATATCGAACGATCGATATATTAAATATGAATCCTGGTTGCGGTAATTAAATGAAATCCTCATGTATTCCAAGATATTATAAGATATTTCTGACGTTACGATTGCTAAATCTTTCGAATAAATATTGGAATCCAAAAAATGAAAATTTAATCTATATGAATTCATGAAATTTATATATCTATGAATATTTTTGAGCTTAAAACTCATCAGCATAATCCATTTATCTAATTCAGATTCTCCTCTCATGAATTCAATATATTAAAATTCATCTCATGAGAAGCGGCATCCCTTCAGACCAAATATATTCACGAATATAAGAATTCGCATAAGTCATATATCGTATCTATATGTAATATTCTATTTTCGTCTATTCTATTCGAAATATTTTTCAATTCTTTATCTGAAATCTAGAATTAATCCGTTACTTAGAATAGAATATATTTTTTCCAAATCTATAACCAGAAATCCGATCAATAATCAATATATCAAATCGCACGTAAATAGACGACCAATTTAAAGATCGGAAAGATTTTAGATCTCCGTCCCTGCTTTATACGTTCCACCGAGCAAATAATCAGAGAGAAAATACGACCAATCCACAAAGATTTTATTCTCCATCCTGAATCTAGGCGCTCCGCGAGCAGCCGCGCAAACGGCCAAAGAGAGATAAATCACGTGGAAGACAATTCCGGAGGCAACGACCGCACGACCAAAAATCTCCGAGATTTTTGATTGCGTTGCCCGCACAAAAAATCTCGGAGATTGTACGGAAGGGCTCTACAATGTCCGAGACTTAAAGCCTCTAGGGAGCCTGCAGGAGGCGTTTTCATGGTGAGCCGGAAAAGCTAGGCCGCGCGCGAGCAAAATGGCCGCAAGTGATCGCGCCGTAATATTGAGGTACTCGTAAGAATTTCAATTTGAGATTACATCATGAATAATCAATATCCCGACTTGTATTTGCAGCTCTTTATTTATATCAGCAGACATCTCTCCCATGTTGCGTCCTCACTTATGGAGATCTCGCCTATTTCATGAAAGCGCCTCAAAATTTCATGAAAGCGCTCAAAGATGTCATGCTGCGGCTGGCCTGCACTTGTCGATCTCATACGCACCAGGAAATGGGTTCTTCAGTAGATGTTGCTTGGCAGCTTCGACGTCAACGAACTTCTTGTTGATCCAAAACGAATCGCAAGCCTTTTGGTTCCAACAACTGGAACCCAACAAGTCGTAGCCTGCATCCTTCAGCAACTTTCTGACCGCCCCGTTCTTTTCCTTGTGCCGCTGGAGCTCTTCGACCACCAGCGCTGCGATTGACGCCTTTCTCCAGTCGACGGAGTTCAACACGTACAGCTCATATCCTTCAACGTCCAGACTGAAGAAGCTGATATGTTGGATATTAAGCGTGTCGAAGAATGACTGGAGAGGCGCGCAAGGTACGACAGCTGAACCACCAGCAACGTGAGCCCCGGTTCGATCGCCCCCGAAGTTGACAGTGGTGGTCTCGTTGCATATGGCGCTACTGATCTTGACCGTGTTCGGACGGTTTCTCTGAAGCGTCTTGAACGTGGTGGGCTTGCCTTCGATCATGAGGCCCTTCCAACCCAGACAGCTCTCAAGGAAGTGCGTGTTGGTCTCGTGCCAGCCGTCATAAGCACCCAACTCCACGAACACTGGAGGCGTGTCCCTACCTTGGGGCATGAAAGGCCGGATGTGGCTTACAAAGATATGCTCCTCCTCGCGTGAGTTGCTGCAGCCTCGCGTCAGGATGCTATCGCAAGCTGGGCAGCAGTGGTCCAGCGGACCCTGCAGCTTGCTCTCAGCTCCCGACGCCAAGTAGTTCTGCCATTGTTTTTTCCAGGTGTGCGCTGTAAGAGGACTTTGGCAATCGCCCCCGAAACAGACCATGGTACCCTTTTCGAAACGAGGGGCCTTCGGTGCAATTGGGGCTTGGACCGCGCAGAAGACATCGGTAGCTTCATCGCAATCTGAGCTGCACAGGCCATGACTACATAGGCCCAGCAAGACTCCCACAAGAGTCAGGTGCTGCGCCAGCAAGACACGCATTGTGTGCGTCTGGATGTAAAAGCTAGAAGGCTAGGCGCACTCACTCGGGCCTAACAGAAGCATGGCCGGGCAGTTGCAAGGGGCCTCTTCGACAGGCTTGCTGATTGGTGTCACTGACATGGACAGCATGAACTGCACACAGGGACCGAGCGGCACAACACTTCCAAGAACTGCCTGCCGCTGCAACTAGAACCCCCTGTGAAACACAAGCGCTCCCCATCAGATAATTGCCTACGATTTGCCAAGGTTGAAATCATATCCCATTCTCAAATGCCAATGTCTATGGTGTCAGCCAGCCTCAGATAGAATTTTGAATATGAAAGGGCAGTTTTTCCCCCGGTCCTCCATTCCTTGTCTGCCTGACTTCGATGGGCACCCCCGTCCTAAACGATGGAAGAACTAATACGCGGCAACATCAAAACACTGCTGAAATTCGTCTACTGCCACTAAGCCGTAAAAAAACCTGAAAAACTAGTGTCTCAAATCTTTTGATCTCCATACCTTCACGGTGCTGACAAAGTCCAAAAAAGGACCTGAAGATGGTGATTTCTTGCGGCGGTTTCTGCAAGCCCGTACCTAATGCCCGGAGGGCTCTATGGCCTATGGTGTTGCGATGAAATCAAACATTTGAACCCCAAAGGAGCTTTCTTGTAGGGTTCCCGAGGTTGGAGACAGCATTGTTTGCAGAATTGCCTGATTCCACTGCGCCCCTTCCAAATGAACACCAGCGCGTTAAGCATTGAGCATCCAACAAGTTCATTTCTGAGGCTTGGAGATGCTCAAGTATGAAGAAGGATACAACTTGCATCATGACAGCATCATGATGACCATCACTCCGGACTCCGCCATGTCTACTGAAAGGTCGCAGCAGTAATAGGAAGACATGCGCAGGGATCGGAAAGCTCGAATCATGTTAAGACCTTGCAGTTCAAGCTAACCGCTGCGTGATTCGTCTGGTGGCAATGCTATTGAATGCTATTCCAAATTAACAGCCCCGCCCCTAATAACGAACCCGACTATAAAACGGGAAAAAGCCCCAAATCGTGGAAGAATACTCTTAAGAAGGCCAAGACTACTCGTAAAGGGCGCCAATTAGGAAGCCGTAAGTATTGAATCGGCGGGGGGTTGTGAAAGAATTGCGGGAGATCATTAGAACCATTACATAGGAACAACCAGGGATTCGGGACCTCTTTCATGTGCTGGATTACAAATGCGCTTTTTACAGGTGTACCGACCCATGGGATGTTTAATCAGAATGACAGATCTCCTGCATTGCTTTCTATTCTGTTTACAAGCTTGTATACAAAAAAACTGTAGCGAAAAGCGACTTCAATTTCTTAGTTTGTTGGATTCAGACGTTTTTTCATGAAATAAATGTCTATCAAACCATGAGACGGAAATGTAGCTGGAACTAGGGACCTCCTGTATCTTTCTACCCATGAATCCTTTAGGATAAGGGTTTCTCGCCCCGAAATCGAGAGAACCTAAGGCCTAACCCCCGCAAACCCACCTTCGGAAACAGCCTAAGCGCAAGCAGCGCCCAGACGGTTCCAGCAAGCATGGCGAAAACGTGAAGAGCTTTCGGCAAGCAGGCACGAAGCAAGTGTGAGCCAAAATCTCAAACGTGCTGGGCTCAGGATCGCCAGTAGCCCCCCCCAGGGATCTAGGAATTGATCCTCTGGGATTTTATGGGGGCTTCTGCTTCTATTGAGATCACGAAAGGAATGCAAGGGTTGTGTAAGAAATCTACATTGGTAGCACATTGATGAACTGAAGGATTCTTCGGGTTTGCTGAGATTTGCGTTGAGATCACGTTGGATTTGTTCGCATGTGGGGCTGGTCTGGCGCACCACTCAAATCAGGATCATCACCGACATCCACAAAAAACATTTGCACTTGGCAACACAACTCATTACGCATTCGCTTGAAACAACAATGGGGCCTGACTGCTTCGCGCTTGGCATGATCGGAGGGTCAGAAAACATCTAAATTCATGGGTCTTGGACGTTGTGCTTTCAAATGGTCTTGCTTCAATCAAGGAAGTTGACAATGACTGATTGGGGCGGGTTGCGCGGCCTACCTAGACCTTGCAAACAAAAACACCTGAACAGCGTCGAAGCTCTAAATATTTATGTAGCGCCATCCATCACTGTAAACATGTATGAGCAAATTCTGGTTTCTCCAAAACATAATGCAAGTAGGGCAAGTAACTGCCCCCAAGGTTTTTGTAATCTTTTGTACTGTACGTTCAAAGGTTTCTGTCGCACACAACAGGGGGCCAGACTTGGCGGTTGCAACATACAGAAAGGCATGTTTTCACATGAACCAGGTCAAGCGGACTTGCAATGATTGCCAGAATCATCTATGCTGCGGAGGCCACGACTGGAGCTCATGGCTTTCCAAAGCTGAGCAAAGGACATGCGCACCCTATCTTCCAGGTGCCACCATATGCCACCCAATCCAAGGGAGTCCATGCAACCTTCCCACATTGACAAAAACTCTGCGTGCTCTGGATCCATGAAGGAGGAGGGCATATGTGGCTGTCGAATGCACAGTTGATGAACTTCTCCAAATTCTGAGTCCCCAAGCGCGCCGGCCACTCTCCCCAGCGCAAGGAAGATAAATCTCTTCTCCCCAATTCAAAGCATCTCAAAATTGCTTGCGGGTTTCCTTCTGGTGGTGCTGCTATGCTGGAAGTGGCAGCTTTTGATGCTATTTAATCGGGGGGAGAGGCGGGGGAACCTCCTGCTTTAAAGCATATGCACTTTTTCCAATCGCGCAAAAGATGGTACCCAGACAGCTCTATACCCCTAAATGCAGGTTAACACCCTTACCCTATGTAATCCCGTACACCTCCTTCAGCACAGAGACCCTGCATGTGCCTCAGGTACTGGATTGCTGTTAATAAGTTACCATACCAAGGAAACCCTTTTATTTATTAAATACCTTGCGTTTACTACATACCCCCCAGTATAGTGACCTAATTGATACTAAAGGGTCTTGTGTTCTCTAGGCACCACTGCGCAGGCCTTCTACTGGACAGGCCACTTCGCCGGCTTGTAGTCTCATATTATGGGGTACGTGGGCCCTTCATGTGTCTACCAACTTGTTGCTTGGAATGCATCCATCTTCTTACGAAGGCTGTTGGCTTCCAACAGCACCGGCGCCGCAACAAATGGTGGACTGCTGCGTTCTGTCCTATGCCACGTGCACAGTACTGTCTACGTCCTTGCAACACTGAGGAACATGAAGAAACTAAGGCCCTTACAGAATGACGTAGCGCACCAATCAGTTTGGAGGCCCAAAATTTCCTGCGCCACTTCCTTATGAGAACAGTGTACACCGAAACACTTTACCACCATCTGGACAGCTGTTTTTTCCACCAGCTGCAGCAGCGGTGCAAGGCAGCTCCCGTTTTCTCCACGAGGGGTCAAGGCGGCTATTTACACGAATGCCACCTAACCCATCACAAGCTCATCCAAAACCCTGTAAAGCTTCTACATTTAGGTAAACCGTGTACATGGACGTCGAAGCCCAAAGTATGTGTGGCTTCAAGGGTCTTTTTAAACGCGGCACTCGCTTCTGGGACTCAGATACGCCTGCTGTGTAAGGCTCCGGGTTATGGGTCTCAGGGATCTGAGACTCACAGGTTTAATCGACCATTCTCATACGATACTAGCATGATGTAAACCCAAGTACACAATATTCAAAACCCTAAATCCAGCAGTTCCGATTGTATCTACTTTCTTATGATCTTTCAATGTGCTCCGATAGCACAAGGCAATCCTCCGGGAAGGGTCTTCCCAAAGTTCTCGTTCAGGTTGTGCCTGCCCCGTGCTACGCAGCAGCAATAGAAAAATGGCAGTAGAAGCAGCAACAGCAGCAACAGGAGTAGTAGTACTTGGAGCAGCAGAAGCAGTAACAGTAGTCAGCAAGAGCAGTAGCAAGCGAAGTGGTAGTCGGACCAACAGTAGCGTAGCAAGAGAAGTAATGCCCTTCACACTACTAGACAATGGTGGGACGAGCTGCTGATTTTACTGCCTATGGGGTCGAGTTCCCCATATACGGTTTTGCGTGCATTGTCATTGTGGCCGCAACAATTTCGTCCATGTCTAACCGTAAAAGGCCTTGCGAGCGTTCATACTGGCCAAGGTAATTTCGTCCATGTTCGACCTTTAGGGTGTTGCGAGCATCCATATTGGCCAAGATAACCTCGTCTCCATGTTGGCGTTGCGAGCATTCATATTGGCCGAAAAATTTCATCCATGTTGAAGTTGTCATGTGCCAGCATGAACCAGAACCATGATGGAACGCATGTTTGCGCACCGAAGTACCCAAGAACATGGTGACCAGACCATCCATGCCCAAAGCATATGCGGTTCGTGTTCTAAGACCATACGGTGACCAGGGCACCCATGCTCAAAGCATGATCCCGTTCGTGTCCCAAGAGCATACGGTGACCAGACTCAGACCATCCATGCCCAAAGCAGAATCCCGCTCGTGTTCCAAGAGCATAGGTTGACCTGAGCATCCATGCCCAAAGCATAATCCGGCTCGTGTTCCAGAAGCATAGGGACAAACGAATGACAGCTCTTTGGGTGTTGGGCAGTGTAGTTCCACAGCAGCCATATGCCGAGAGCACACCCGAAAACTCGTTTTGACCTGAAACAACTACGCGCATGCTGCTTCTAAGTGCGCAGAGTACCTGGGGTCATTCAAGCACGTATTATCATGTTGTACCCTATACCGTTTTGCGACTTCCATATTGGCCAAACTAATTTCGTCCATTTTCCACCCTGTATTGTTTTGCGAACATTCATGGTGGCCAAAATAATAGACCTCCTCGAAAGTCTCAGCCCCTGATTGCACAATTCCGCCAAGCCTCTCCCTATCTCTGCCTGCAGCTTTTGCCCAAATGATAATTTCCCAACATGTTGATACTCTCTTATTTGCCCCAACAACACTCTAATTGCAGACATACGCACCCTTTAGAAGGGACC